ATCTCTTTGTTTCTGCACCTGTGCTGGATGCTCCAGGCTAGCTGGCTGGACAGGTTCATGTGATCCCATCTCCACCTCCCATCTCAGTGTAGGCATGCTGGGTTACAGATGTGGGTTAGCCTCGTCTGTGTTTTGCCCTCATGCTGGCTCACTTTACTTTCACTCCTGCAGAGATAACTAAGAGAGGCAGCATGTTCATCAGTTAGTCGATGACATCCTGTGCTCTGTCTGCTACTGATTCCTTGCCCCACAATGCCCTGGGTGAGGAGAGCGTAGCCACAGGTATGCAGACACTTAACATTCAAGCGTGTAAGCCCATGACGGGCTTCTGACAATGCCATGTTCCTCTTCCTCTGCATATAGCACAGATCACTGCATACAGTGTGAAATTATTGCAGTAAGGGTAGTGTAATACACCCAAAGTTGGATCCTGGCCTCTAATCACAGTAAGTGGTCTGACCTCGGAGGCACAAGCCATTGTGAAGGCTCAGCGTCGGCATAGGTTGAGTGGAATATGGGGCGCACTAGCCAGATAGTCGCTGAACCTCCAGAGGGGTCTCTGGAGGTCCTTACAGTTCAGCTCACCACGCGCGCTCTTGTTTGAACAGCAGTGAGGTCTTAAGTAGGTAGATACAACCCCCAAAAGAATCTGAGAAGCAACGTACTTCAGTGGGATGTGCTGGAAAGAGTCGTAACACCTGGGACTCAACGTCACAGTGTAATAGATCCGTTCCCAAGCCCCACAGCGCTTGGATCCTGTCTCTTGTTTCTAACACTAGACCAATAAACTGCAGAAACCAAGTGAAAGAAAGGAACAGGATGCTGCAAGGCAGTCTGTAGTTGCTGCTAGCCTGGGCTGGGGCCAGCTCTGGCAGCTCCCCACTTGGATGAGGTCAGGGTTGTGATCTACTTCAGGGTTGGCAGGGCTGGGCTGTGATCTCTCAGATCTCTCCAAAATGAGACTCCTAATTGTCTGGAGACAGATAATCAGATGCCACCACAGACACTGATCTCAGCGGCCAGCTGGTTACATCTGCTGAGGTCTGGCCCTGCTCTTAGTAGGCCTTCTCTGAGAAGATAGTGTGGTCAAGTGTTTATTTTCTCCTCACAGAATGCTAAGGTGAGCGCCTCCCCCGTTCCCCAGGACCCCAGAGACAGCAGTGTGTATTCATCCTGCCCGGCCTCTGGCTCCTGTGTCATCTTAGGCCAGCCTCTCCATTCTACCCTTTGCTGACACCTCGTAATGTCTATCAAAGGCTCACCCCTTCTACTTTGATGTCAGAAGGATCCCACACCAGCCCTGCTAATTACTGGCTGTAAAAAAAAAAAAAAAAAAAAAAAAAAATCTCTGCTTGGGAGCGTGGGGGAGCTGGTGCCACCCCTAACCTGGCCAGTGGGAGAGCTGGTGGGCCCAGATCCAGGGCTTTTGATTCCCCACCCAACACCTACCCCATCTATGAGCTGCTGGAATATGTGAAGGGTCCGATCCTAAAGAACCAAAGCTTCAGGATATCCAGGAGTCTGGTGGTTCAATATTGATGGTGTAACAGAAGCCAGAGGCTTTGAACTAGACTAATGACTCATGCAATGAACATTCAAAAGTAAAGCTGTTTAGGCAAAAGGATACACTGTGTGGCACATCTTTCATTGCCACTATGATGAATGAATATGTGATGGAGAGGTGGGAAAGATAGAGTGAAATAGTACATTCACAGAATACTGGTTGGTAGAGGAGCCAGTCATTGCCCAAAGGGGTCAGCAAGATTTTTGTTTTGTTCTATTTGATTTTGGTTCTTTTCTGACCTTTATTTTTATTTTATTTTTGGGAGAAGAGTACAGGGGTGGAGGGTGGCTGTGCAAGAACTGGGAAATGAGTGGGATTGGGATGCATGACTAATTCCCGAAGATTCAAAAAAATAAAAAATAAAAAAAAACAAACGTTCTTCACAGCACCATCCACACTAGGATGTAGAAGGGTATGCCAGTGCTGTCCCCCTTGCTCACCTCCCCTTCAGCCCTCTGCTAGCCTTCCAGCATCTGGTGCCCTTGAATAATGTACCTGCATCCTCCTTTGCCCACTCCATGCCCTGGCTGCAAATACAGACCTTGTTTAAATGCAAGCCAGTTTGTGTAAGTGGAGTGAAGCTTGCTTGCTTGCTTGCACCCTCCATCCCGGCCCCCTGGGTCTAGCCACCACCTACTGCATTCTCTTCTACCCGCCTTGGTCAGCTTTGTACCACTATAGTGAAATACCCTAGATAATTACAAAGAGAAAATGTTGAGGGGAAGGGCTCAGCCATGACGTTAGCCAGGAGGCTTTGGGCCTGTGGTAAGGCAGCACAGCATAGCGGACATGGTGAAAACCAACTCCGTGGGCCACGAAGCAAAGAAGGAACTGGAGTCCCCAAGTCCCCTTCAAGGGTACATGGCAAATGGCCTCAGGAACTTGGCTCTTATGAAACATTGACCCTGAAGGGGAGGGGACTCTTAGTCTCTCTGCAGTCTTGGCTGGCCTGGACCTTGACTGCTTCTGCCTCCAGAGTGTGGGGATTAACGGTGTGTGTGCCACACCATGTAGGAAAGAGACTCTTAAGCCTTAAAAGGCTGAGTCAGGAGTCTCAAGACCCACCTCAAATTTATAAGATCAGCAAAACTTCAGAGATTGTGGCAAAACTAGCAACCCACCAGTTTGCAGGGAGCTCATGAGCTCATATTGGGTGGGCTTTCCCATAATGCAGCTGACTTTCAGTCGCTCATCCTTCTGAAGTAACCCTAACCCTAGTGACTTCCTGATTGACTAAGCTAGCCTAGAGTTCATGTCTTCCCCAAGAAAGTCACACAGCCTTCCCTAAAGCTAGCCTACCTCTCAGCCAATAAGCATTCTCTCCAGCCCGCAAAACCAAATTTTAAAACATGTCTGAAGTAGCCTGTGGTCAGAATCCTAAATTATTTTTACCAGTTCATACTACTTCACAATTAGTGATGTTTTTAGCAACGGCCTCTGCTCTTGTTAGAGTGTTTCACCAGATTAAACAAACAACCTCATTCCCTATCTGCTCATATTCACAATTTATTGCTTGACTTAATATTAAGTGAAGTCATTCTAGTGTGATAGCTGAAAACTTTAGGCTTAGAACAACTTGCACAAGCATAGCCTAAGAGGAAGAAAAGGCTGAGAGGCTCCTGGGCAGATCAGCCACCATGGATGAACCTCACACTCGGAAGTCGGATGTCTACATAGGGGAGTGTGCATTACACAGGTGGGAGAAGACCTCTGAGTGGCGTCCTTTTAAGTTTCCCATAAAAATAGTGCATGCCTAGATAGCTGTTGCCAGCAGGTGGCAGCCTTGCCTTGCAAACTGTCTTCTCTGTCGGGAAGGCAGGCAGCTGTCCTTTGCCAGGATTAGAATTCCCTTTCCTCCTGTGGTTCCGGAAGCTTTTTGGATGAGCTGGTGGTTTGTTTGTTTTGTTTGTCTTCAGGTCAACTCAGCACAATCCTGCAACTGTGGTGAGGGAACACAGCAGGACTGTGAATGAATTAGTCCCACCGAACTTCTCCCAGGCTGTTTGCCCTGCCATAGAGATGATAAGGACGGATATCTATATTGCCAGGAGAAGTTCTGAGGAATCAAGTCCCTCTAGCCTTTCTTTTCTGATGCAGGGGAGGATGGTGTTTTACCTTTGGACAAGGAATGCAGGCTGGCTGTAGCAGCACCCATAGCATAGACTAACATCTACACTGGCCTTGGCACTCCCAGGGACACCCTGACCCTGACCTCTGATGCTGCAAGGGTCCTTGGCAGAAATCCTAGTTGTGGAAATCTCCAGTCCAAGGTCAGGTGCCCGTCTGTCTTAGCACTGAGGGTGAAGGGAGGGTCGTAGCAAGTGCTACCAAGCAACACCACAACTCTGGCCATTCTACTGCCCAGGTGTAAGACATGATACCTGAGGTGGGCAGGTTGGCGTTAGGGGCTTACTGACCTTTCCACACGGCAACCAGAAACTGGGATACTTTGGTGACCTCTTGCTTCTGCCCCACCACCACCACATAAACACACATCAGCCACCATAGGTTACTGTGTAAGGGGGGGAAACGAGGCCATACATGTGATGACACAGGAAGCCAGCCCTCTCCCAGCCAGGCCTGTACGATGGTCAGCATTTACTGTCAGCTTGACAGGATTAGAAACTCAGACACTTCTCTGGGGGGCTAGGATGTTTCTAGAGGAAGATCCACGGGCCAGTGGATACAACGTGACCACTGGTCTCTGGGTTCAGGTTGTCCCAGCTGGATCAGTTCTCACTGGCACCCAGCTGAGAGCCTTCTTAAGTTGTCCATCAGCTCTCTTGTCATAGCAACCAGAGTATGCCTGAGCTGCCTAGAGGCTGGGGTGTGAGCCACGTGGCCCTTGAGGTCTGAAGATGCCTTGAGTAGGTAGACATGGAAGTTACGGGCCGTTCTCACTCCCAGATCTGGAAGGGGCCAGGCCCAGTATAAGGTGGGAGATGTGGACCGGCTCTGTTCTGCAGATCTAGCCCTCTGGAGGAGACCTGAGCCGCTGCAGAGGAAAGCTGTTACAGAGAGCCGCCCAAAAGACCTTGTAGGGCAAGAAGTAGCCACAGAGGCTCAGACGTGGGCGAGCTGAAGGAGCTGCTGAGGTGGCTTCCCTGACCCACACCCTGGAGATGCTCAACCTTTGGAGAAATATATCACCTGGTACACTGCACTTGGCACAGACACGAAGAATGAGGCTAGTGACAGGCGCCATGTGTTCAGAGCACATTTAATAAAGAGTGCAAAGTTCTTAGTGGTGGCCTGGCTCTTAGATGCCATCCTTTTGAATGGCCACTGGGGACTCTTCCTGGATGAGGCAAATGCTGACGATCTTGGCACTGTCCCCTGACACATGCAGGAACCCGTATGTTTGGAGAAGCATCCAGATCCTGCCTGGACTCTGTGGGATGCTGATAGTCCCCATGGGGGTGTCAGGCTCTTTCTATCTGGCACTTGGGGGGGGGGGCAGATGGCCCTGCTGGTAGCCTGGCCCAAACTTGAAGCTTCTGGCTTCCTCTGCAACCTGTGGCCAGCCCCACAGGGAAAGTGAGCAGACATAGACATGTGCTTCTGCTCCTTTCATTCTGGGGCTCTGGCCCCTTTGGTCCCAACAGTCAAGCTCCCCAAGGTGGCGAAGAACTCCTCCATCTCCTTCTGCAGCAGCTGGTTCCTGCGCTCCGCATCCTCACGAGCTCGCTCCGAGTTCCGAAGCTTGATCTCCAACATGGCGTACTTCTTCTTCTCCTGGTCCAGCTCCTCTTCCAACCGAGACATCTGCTTCCGCAGGTCAGCACTGCCCTCCTCGATGCTTAAAACGTCAAGAAGAGGGAATTTCAGACTTTAGCCCCTGGAGTACTGTCACAGCAGACATGGCCCTGGGTCTTACCAAGGTAGGGAGGTGGTGAGGATGCTGCAGGGAGGGATCTCACAGCCTGGCCACTCCTGCAAGACAGCGGGGGCTTCCTACAGGGAGGCTTCCTTAGGTTTGTGGCCCAGAAAGGCCACCCTCAGGATTCCTGCCTTAGCACTGGAGCTAACGGTATCCCTGAGCCCTCACTAGATAGAACCTTTTGTCCCTCCAGCTCTGTTGGCTGCCCTGGTAATCAGCTGCCACTACCAAGAGGGGTAGAGGACCCCTGACCTTTGTTTCTATTTCTCAGCCACACCTCCTGCTCCTTTGTATGCCTTGCTCTGGCAGAACATAAAGCCATGGGTAATTACCGTCTGTCCTTTATGTCCTCCTCCCATGACTGTCCTGGAAGTCCAGTAATATCTGAGACTTCCATGGCATGGAGTTCCATGGCATTGACAAGACAGATGTTCCTGGGCCCAGCAGCCTTTGAATGGGGGCGGGGGGGGGTAGCTCCCCTTCACACCCCAGAGCACTGTAGTCACCATTCGGGGAGAGTATGCATGCAGCAAAGCTCCAGCAAACAGTATCTGTGGAAGGGTTATCAACCTTCCTCCACCCCCAGACACTGAGCATGCTGCTTAGAGAAAGCTGACCTCCCTTCACCATAGCAGTGGGCATGCTATCAGAAAGGGTACCTCATGAAAGATGGCACTGAGGACTCACTTCTTTTCTGTCACCAGCCCTGTCCTCTCTTTTGTTGGGCCTCTGTCAATATTATGCTAGAGTGACCTTGTCTGGTCTCCTGGTTCTAAGCCCTCCAATTAAGCTTCTGGATCAGGAGCATCTCCAACAGTCCAAAACTGAACACCTGACAGCTTCCCCCAAGCCATGCCCTGTCCCACTCAGTTCTCCCCAACGAGCACCTGCTTATAAGCTCCTCCCGAACAACTTTACAACTTTTATGCCAGGTGAGCTCCTCTCACCTCCTCAGTAAGCAAGGCCCACCCACTCCACCTTCAGAACATGTGCCAAACACTTCACTGTTGTCCCTGTGGCCCATGCCACCCCATAGGAGCCTGGCCTCCTATGGCCTCCTCATTGGTCCTACTGGACTTCCAGTAAGCTTTTCTACCAGAGCAGCCAAAGTCCTTGAGACACTCCCTCAACCCCTTCACACTCAGTCCCCTGAAAAAACCAAGCAGCACCCACTCCAGAAGGCCCTGCCTTACTACCCTGCTCAAGGCTGGCACAGCCCCTCGGTGTGCTACTCTAGCCCCACCCTGGGCCTTTCTATCCTCTCCCGAGGAGGACCCCTTCCCTCCCCAGGGTTAGTGTCCTGTATCCACTTCCTAGCATGCCGTGTATCTCTGGTGACTTTTGTGTGTTGTCTCATCCTGATACCCCAAATATGGTATGGTGAGGCTCAGAATTCTGGTAAGTTTGAGCCACAGCCCCCTCCTCAGCATCTGGCCCAGTATCTGTATTTCATAAACAAAAAATTATCTTAAGGAAATACTGGAAGGGCAGAGACTGAATTACAGGAGGCAGAATGGGTGGGTTTTGTGTATGCCAGTAGAGCATATTCCCAGAAGCCTGCTAGATGGGACATGGCATAATGCCCTCTTCCTCCCTGTGCCGGAAACCATCCTCATCAATGCCTCTCCTTCCGGGCAGCCTAGGCCACTCCACTAGTTAAGAGCATCACAGGGGCCTTTACTGTGCTCCTCCATTCTTCCCAAGGAGGGACCTGTGTAGGTAAGGAATGGCAACACCTAGGCTTGCTACAGGCACGTGGGGTAGGCTGGTTTGCACACCGAGCAGCCCCTGGGCAGCCCTCTCTGTGGCCACCCTCCATGATACAAAGCTCTGTTCCCATGCACTGCATCCTGTGGAGCCACCTGGCTCCCTACTCTTGACCTGCAAACAAACTGGCACTCTCCTTTGTTGCGATGCCTTCAGGAGGCGTTTGTGGAGCCCGCCCAGTAATGGGTCCACCCACTGTCAAACCTGAATATCCTAGGGTCATTTTCCAAGGAAGGCAGACTGGGGGGGAAGGGGCTTCTCTGAGCCTTGCCCCCTGCAGCCTTCTCAGCAGTCAGCATAAGCATAGCCCTTTACCTTTTCAGGCTCCTCTCATACTCAGTCCTCTGTCGGCATAGCTCTGCCCTGAGCTCGGCCACCTGGCCCTGGAGAGCCTGGCAACGGTGAACATGGGCTTGTGTGGGGCTGCCTGGGTCATTGGGCTCACTACTGCCACTGCCCACACATGCCTCATCCAGGCTGTGGCCCAGGTCTGGGGACCTGTGGTCCTCACTGCTACTGGGGAGAGGAGAGGCCTCGAGAGCCCACTCGGTATGTAAGGAGCTGCAGGCAGAAGAGTCGCTGGCCCGGCAGGCTGTGCAGCTGCTGACAGAAGCCTCTTGGGATGATGAGGCTACAGACCACGCTGTGCTGGCCATGCTGGCAGTGCTAGAAACGTGGCTGGAAGGGGGCACATTGTCATAGGTGGAGAGTCTCTGTGCTGAGCCTGAATCCTTGAGCCGGTCCCCTGATGAGGCCCGACGGTGGCCACGCAGAGAGGATAGGCCGTTTATGAGCCAGTTCCCACCGGAGGAGATGATGGGTACCTCTAAGGATGAGCTGCCCCCCTTTGGGCTCTCTGACCGGGAGCCAGGCGGCCGAAAGGAAGGCTTCCAGCCAGGCAGAGTATGCATCCTCTTCCCAGGGCTGGTGGCAGCAGGGCCAGTCTGGCTGCCAAGGCGTGGTGGAGAAGTTCTAGAGAGCACTGCAGCAGCTGGCCCATCCAGAGATGAAGTCCTGTGTGTGGGCAAGCCAGGGCTGCTAGGCTCGGCCTGGTGGTCCCTGGTGACCTCCTCGGAGCCCCACTCTACAGTGCCCTGGACAGTAGTACCACGTGGTGAAGCAGGTTCTTCCAGGGAGGTTGCGGCAAAGAGCTGTTGGTGTTTCCGGATGAGGACAGTCATCAGATGCTGAACCAAAGAGGTGCCTGTGAGAAAGAGAGGGGAGAGCTTGGCTGTGAGTGGCCCAGCCCACACCTCTAACACACTCAGGGCTAGCTACAGCTCAGACATAGGATGCCTGTTCCTGAAGGAGGACCACCACACCAGCCAGAACCAGGCACAGACAGATCTGTGCCCACAAAGCTCTTGGGCATGGAGGAAGCATAGGACTGCTCTCCTAGGAAGAGGTAAGTGCCATGCATACCCGATACTCATCGAGGCCACACGGTGATGGATGGCACAATGGAACTGGAAATCAGAGGCCAGTAAGTCAGAGCCCATCAACCACCCAGTCTCTCTGGTGCTACTGCTTCTGCTGGCTGTGCCCTAATGAAGCCCCTCTGAGGACGCAAGGCTCTGTCTGGAGCAGGGTTTACACATACGCGTGCATGCATGGACACATGCACATGCTTGAATACATCGTTTTAAAAAAAATTACTTGTTTCTGGGCTGGAAAGATGCCTCAACAGTTAACACCTGCTGCTCTTGCAGAGGACCTGGATTAGGGTCTCAGCACCCACACGGTGGCTCATAACCATCTACGGCTCCAGTTCCTGGGAAACCCAGTGCCCTCTTCTGACCCCAGCAGACACCAGGCATGCACATGGCGCACAGACATACGTGCGGCGAGACACTAATACACATTGACGGATGAAATAAAAAATTTAAAGTATGCTATGTGTGTGAGTATTCTGCTTGCTTGTATTTATGGGCACTGTATGTGTACCTGGTACGTGTGGACCTTAGAAGAGAATGTCAGATCCCTTGGAACCAGAGCTATAAATTGTTTTGAATTGCCATGTGGGTGCTGGGAACCAAACCAGGGTCATCTGAAAGAGCAGCCAATGCAGGTAACTACAGAGCCGGGGTTCTAGCCCTTATACACATGTGTGGAGATATGTATATATGTAAATACACACGTGCACAGTGTTGACCACCAATCCCTCCATCATCCCCTGAGGCACAGTACCCCAAATCTGGGGGCTTGATATGGGGCTCAGCAGCAACGATAGGGCCATGCAAAGGTCTAGGATGTCTATTCTGCAACCTTGTTCCCCCTAGCTACCCGCAACAAAACACTAGAGTTGGGAGATTCACCGTGGATGAGAAAGACCATGGCCTGGGAAGGCCCCCACAGAACCCTAGTGATCCAGCAGGAATTACAGTAGGTACTTCTCAGCCAGAAAACAGCCTTCCCACAGTGGGCTGTGGGGCTACTGCTGGTGTCCAAGTTGGAGCCCATGTCCTCAGCCCTGGTCCAGGACCTCCGGCATGTCCCCACATGTGAACATCCTGTGTGGCCAGCATGGTTCTTACACTGGTTCTGCTACAGACGGTCTTCCCAGAGGCATGTGCATTCTTGTTTCCACACCAGCCTCTCTCTATGTGGGCCCTTGACAGGCTTGGCTGGCAGGCCCTGGTGAGTCACCTCACCTCACTTGGCCTCCTTCTCATCATCTGGGACTTAAGAGCAATTATCACAGGCTGGGCATGAGGCCTGTAACTGGAGGCAGCTTTAACCCTTTTTCACCTCTTTCTTTATCTGAGACCATGTCTCACATTGTCCAGGCTGTCCTCAAATTCCCAGACTTAAGGAATTCTCCCATCTCAGCCTCACCATATTGCTTTAAAAAAAACCACACACACACATAAAAATAAAAACAAAACCCCATCATTTTACTAATTACTTATCACAAAAGAGAAATTCCCTGCCATTTGCACAGGTCTGTCATCAAGGAACCTAAGACAATTACTTGACTGTGACAGTAAAACAGAAAAACATTCTGTGTGGGCTCAAGGACAAGTATTTTTGCTTCCAGATGTCCTATAATCTCTAACCATTGGTCATTTTAACTGTTTCCAATGATTAGCTGCTACCAGCCACAAAGGGAGGGATGGAGGGAAGGAGGTTTTGTCCCTGAAAATGGAGACAGGACATTTAAGCTCTTGATCCTGGCCTGGCTCTGAGCTATGGAGACTAACATGAACCCAAATTCCCCAGTTTTGGACACTGCCAAGCCACGTCCCCTTTACCTTCCATGATGGTTACTGGATCCTCTATCTGTGGCCGAAGGATGTTAGGGCCAAAGACAGTTGCCAAATTCTGGACACTCATCTTGTTGACATCTGAGTGGGCCTGCACTTCATCCAGAAACCTGCAAAAGAGGAAATCGGTGAAGCAGCAAATTGCAAATTGTAAACTCTAACCTGTTGTGAGCGCTAAGCCCTGCCTGGCCACACCCACCATGCCACACCCCACACCCACTCCATCTACTCAACTCTACACCACCTAGGTACCCACCACACTGATACTTCTAGCCACACCTCTCAGATATACCCACCATACCATACCAATGATGCCTCCTCCATACCAGCCAGCCATCCACCCACATGCTACCTGCTCATCCACATGCCCTGTCAATCCATCATACCACGCCTACGCTTCCGTGTCTCCCACCTTGTCTGTCACAGCTATGGACAGCCGAACCCCAGCCATAGCCACAGAGGGCCCACCCAATTCATACCTACACTCAACTACACTATACCCAACCATCCGCTACACTGTCATGCTACCTCTGATACCCAATTACATCCCACGCCCACCCAACCTACACCTTCACACGTTCATGCCCTCTGGCCACACCCTCTATGCCCAGCTCCCGTCTTTGTGCCCTCAGGCTCCATTCCACTCCCATGATCAACCAGGCCTCCCAGGCTTTCTTTCCATGGTTGCTGTGTAGGGTCAGCTGCACCTGTGTCTGATCAAGGCAGAAGGTCCCTTGAGATCTAAGGATACCATGAGAAACAAAGGCGTAGGGGCACAGTATGGCCATCTCTGCTGCAGAAGACAAATGCCCCGGAAGCTCAGACCCCAGCTGGCCCTGGGTGAGTGTCATCCTGCAGGCTCCTACCAGCACCCAGAATGAGGGCACCTGGGGGTCTGTACCTCATGAGATATATACCTAATCAAGGGGCATATGCCAGAAAGGCGAACATAGGTTCCTTCTGCAATCATTCACTCGCTGCCTCCTCCAGCTCTGTTCTTCCACACGCCTTGCCTGCATGTACCGAGCTTTCTCTCCAGGGGTGGAGGGAATGAGCACAGAGTCAGAGCAGGCCACAGTAGCCCCACCCCAAGCCAGCCACTTACTTGCAGATGTATCTGAGTAGGTTGTAGTTGGCCTGAGGAAGGTTGCTCACTTGTTTAGCCAACTCCAGGGTCCCCTTGTGAAGAAAGGAGAACATGGGGTTTCAAAAGCCAGCAGTGAGGCCTCTGACTGGAGGAAGGTGGGACAGGAGAAGGGAGGTATGGCCAGTCCCAGCTGACCTCCTCCATCCCTCCAGAGTGTAGCTGTGACCTCTTGAGACTGATTCTCTTTCTGGGAGCTGGGGTGAGGGGTGAGCCTCTGCAAGGCCACAGAGGAATGTCTCGGCTCACTTATCAGGGCACAAATATTTGCCTGATAACACCCCTCATCCCCCACACAGTCACAGAGACGGCAAACAGTCTTTCCCCGTGCAGCCGCTCAGAGCTGCAGATGGCCAGGAGGGCAGAGGGTGGAGGGGAGGGGGCCGATACCCGTCCTGGAAGCCAGCTCAGGAAACAGGTAACAGGGCTCCTTGGCCTCAACACCGTACAGACTTTGAAGCCTGAGCCAGGTGTGGGAGATGACGGTGAAACAGAAGCACCCGCTGTGAGGTGGCCAGAACTGGGCAGCCTGCGTTAAGAGGGATCTGCATTCCACCCTCACCCCCACTTCGGCTTCTGTGAAAAACTTCTGCAAAGCACTTGGGGGCCCTCTCTCCCCCACAGAGCAGCCCATGTGCCAGCGAGTAAGTCCTGACTCCACATGCCTGCTGCCCGCCAGCCCACCCCCAAGATGCATCCCGAGAGGCACTGACCTCCCCCTCGTCCTTCGTGAGCAGCTGGGCGCAGCTGAGGAAGTCCTCATACCTGGCGAAAGGGATGACCGGCTCTGGGAGCTCCCGGAGGTAGAGCTTCAGCAGGGAGGCCACCGTGTGCACATCTGTGGTGCTGGGATGAAAAGGGGGACACAAGTGAGAGCAGGGCCCCAGGCAGCTTCAAGACTAACACATACCTCACATGCCCCAAGACAGAGTCAGTCTCGGGTCAAGACGTGTGCATACAGCCATGCTCCTCCGGAGCCAGCTGCCCCTGGTCAAGGTCAGGCCCAGACTGTCTGCAGGCGCAGGAGGCAGGGCCCTGTGGAGAGGGTGACTGAGAGACCAGAAGCTAGCTCCAGCTTGGATCAACTCACCAGCCCCACACCACTCAGAATCTAGTGTCTAGTCCAGCATGAGTGGTGAAGGGGAATCCTCTTTTGTGTTCCTGGTGTGGAACTTGGGAGGTGTCCTGCTGCAGAAGCCACAGAGCACAGCTGTTCCGCTCACAACAGCTGCTCGAGGTGGAAGGAATTACCTATGATTCGGATTGGCTCACAGGAAGCCCCTCCCCCACCTCATGCTATAGCCCACCTACAGGTACTGCTTCTCGCCTTGGTCTTCCTCTACCACAAAACTCTTTCTATAGTAACACTCTCAGCCCCAGGGGTGTGTGGATGTGTGTGTGTTTTCCAGGAGTGGAGACAGGAGGCAAGGCTTTCATTCTGGATGAATGCTGTTGTTGGCTTGGGGAAGCGAAGAGAGGATGGGAAGCTGCAGATGGGGACATGGGCAGTGGGGACAGCTGACTTGACCAGAGCAGGTCTGATGACCCACTGGCCTTCTGTAGCCTTGCCTCAGGCCACCAGCTGCATGTAGCACATACTGTGAGATGCCCAGGCTGGTGGGCCCAGGCTTCCGTCTGGAATGCTCTTTGGTACGGGTGAGAGTGCGATGGGGGTAGAGTGAATTCACAGTGGTGTTGGAAGGGAATTCAGGGACACAGGAACCAAGTGTTAAATAAAGGGAAGACCAGCCAGCGGTGAGTGGGGATAGAGGCTGAGAGAGCCAGAGTGGGCGGAACAGTGGGCCAGGCATACAGCTAAGCAGCAGGTCTCTGTGGGTGATGGATGGGATGGGAAGGGCATTGAGCGGGGATGCAGACAGGAAGGCCTGTGAACTGGAGGGCTAACCAGTCCTACTCCCTGTCTCCCTGAGGCAGCAGATGCTGCTGACCCTGGAGGGTCCCAGCTTGGGAAGGGCCCTGGCCTCCAGTGTGGATGGAGGAAGTGGCCCAGGAGAAGGCAGTGAGCAGTGGGCAGCAGCATGCTTGGCTGGAGAGCAGAGGCCAGGGAAGAACCCCGCATATGTGGATCTTGGGTGCGTGTGGTCATATGGAAGTCCAGAATCTCAAATGTCAGTGCCAGAGGGACACTAGCACAGCCAAGGTCTGCTGGTCCCTGGCTGTCTTCCCCGAGAATCTCCTATGGGGAACTTTAAGCTGGGCATGGAACCAGGGGCTACGAAAGTTTTCTGGGGCTCAGGTGTGGCTTAAGGTGCTGGCTTAGAGGAGGAGCCAGCTGTGGCCAGGGCTGCCCCACAAAGCACAGATAGAAAAAGAGAGCATGAGCCTGAGCTGGCAATACCTCGACACACCCAAGCCCCCTCCCCCAACACACACACACACTACACTTCAGCCGAGTCATCCCTGAATCCCTGAGCCAGATGGAGACTAAGTCCTGTTGTGGCCATCGAAGGCCCTCAAGATGGAGAGAGGAGCTGAGACCAGAGGCAAGGGCCTGACTTCTCACCTTCGGATATAGATTCCTCAGTTCAGCCAAGGTTCATCCCAAGGACAAAGAGGACTAAGTCTGGGAGCGGGAGCCCCATCAGCCACCCAGCTGCTTGGTGGAAGGAAGACTGTGAGTGAGTTATAGGGAACAGAGCTCTGGTGCCCACGGTGAGCAGGTGGGCAGGGGGACAGAGACACCTGGCCTCTGTAAGGTGCAGTAAGGTACTAAGGTGCCCTTGTGAGTGAGCTGAGGATAACAGACTCCAAAGCTCACTCGGAACAGGCACAGGTCAGCAGAGCCCTGGAGACCCTGTGAGTTGGTAGACATAGCTGCTAGAGGAATAGAAGAAATTGGGAAAGAATCTCTGAAGAGTGGGAAGTCGGAGCCCAGAGCCTCCATGGTGGAGGGAGAACGCTTAGAGGCCTACCTAAGAGGAGGGACTGGTAAGCCCGGGGAAGGGAGGTTTCATGATGGAGGGTCAGTCAGGAGCCACAAGCCTGGAAAAAGGGCCTTGTCATGCCGCCAAAGCAGAGATGTGGGTCTGTGGGCCTGAGCTCAGGGACAGGAGCCAAACTGAGCCCAGCTGGCACCGTGCTTTAAAACAGGAGGCACAACAAGACGATGACACTACAGGGTGGGTTAGGCTAGAAAGACTGCCACCTCGCCCCGAGACCCTAGTGAGTTTGAATGTGGTGGTGTGGGTCTGACACTCTTCCAACACTACAACACTGTATCTGACCCTGGGACTCATCTAAAAGCCATTGCTCCCAGTTCCTACCAAAGCAGCTTTTGTTTGAAGCAGGCTCTAACCTTGACGCCTACAGAAGAGATGAGGTCTGGCTGGCAGACGTGCAGAGTTAACCGCAAGCTTCCACAAGCTGTAGCAGAGCGTCACAGGGATCCAGGAACAGGGACTCCTATGCCCTCCCTGAGGAGCGGTGGTTAGTCCTGAACTCATATCTAATGAAACTAGCTGGCAAAGCCCCAGAGCTTTGCTATGGGTCTGGGAGGAAGCTGGAGGGATGACAGCATTACACTCTGCGGGGTCCAGGGCCATGGCAAGCACTGCATAGCTTATCCCATGGCAGAAGGAGCCTAGATTTAAGAGAAGGTGTCACAAGAGGCAGAAGCTTTATGGGTGTCTGGTTTGAAGGCTTGATATAAGAACTCTATGTAGAACTGTCCTGTAATGAGTGGTATCCCACGGGGGAGAAGACAGCCCACACAACCCCATGGAGAGGCAAGCCCCACCCACCCGTTCTCAGGCCCTGGGCAGTGGGTATCATTGTCTTCCTCTAGCCATGGGATGTCCCCAGTGATGAGTACTGGGGACTCAAAGCAGGCAGAAGCGACTGTCTTCCTGCCCCAGAATCTGACTGAGATGGAACTCGGCTGCTATGCCATCATGCCATTATGGAAGCTTGGGGGGAGGCGGAGCTGGGTCACTGAGAGGAGGCAGGACTAAGGGCACACTGCAATGAAGTGTGGAATTCTAGATACAGCTGTGCCTAAGCTATGCTGGCCTGGCCGCTAGCTGAGGCCTTCATTCCTCTGCTTGGGTCAAAAAGGAACTGAGGAAGTCAACAGATGCCTGACCCTGTTTGTGGCAGACACCCTCCAGAAGACCAGCAACCAGTGTGATTCTGGGCCCCACTATTCTGCGCTCTGGGCAGACTGGCTAAATATCCATGAGTTGCACAGTAGACAACACGACAGGCCCTGCTCAGAGAACCTGATGTCAGGGAGGAGCCCACAGGAGCCTTGGCGAGTGGTCCCATCTATACTACCCTTTCCGCCGGAGCTCACCTGTCAAACAGCGGCTTCTCTCCACAGTCGAAGGAATCCTGCAGGTCCCTCACCAGGTTGGCCTGGCCGGGCATACGGAAGAGGCCCTCTTCACTGAGTCCTCGCTCCCGGATGAAGTCCACACACTGTTCCACCAGCAGGGGAGCCAGTCGGGGACCATACTTCCGCTCATGGTGCACCGTGTCCTCCAGCCGCTGCCCAAAGATCCCTGGACACAGAAAGGGACTATTCACTCTCTCCTGCCACTCTGCACAATGGTGGGTGAAGGGTGTTTGGACTGTGGGAGGCAGAGAATGCTGTGTGTGCACCAAAGGAGGCTCTTCCCAAGGAAGAGAGTATACACTGGGAGGGCACACCCAGGTGGCTGCTCAGGGCTGTCAGGGCAGCAGGAGGCATGCAGCCAGCCTGGCCTGTGCAGCTTGTCCAAGCCAGGAGAAAACGGCCCTCAGGAAGTATGTGCTTGTGTTGTGTTGAAGGATGAATTCACTCCACTGGGAAACTATGCCAAGCCCAAGCACAGGAAAGTGAGCAGATGCCTCGTGGGTTGGTCCACTGGGCACTGCTGTAAAAAGAGAGGCAGGAAGCACAGCTCAGAGGACAAGAGAGATGGCACACTGATGTGAAACACCATCCCACTCAACATCATTCATCAAAATGATGCAATGAGTATGAGCGCTGGGGAGCTGGCTCAGCTCAGCGGGTACGGCTCTTGACGGGCAAGTGTGAGGACCTTAGCTCAGGGCTGGGCAAAGCTGGACACGGCAGCACACGTGTGTAATCCCAGGGTTCCTATGGTGGGATAGAAAGATGGAGATAGGAGGATCCCTGAAGACTTGCTGGCCAGCTAGCCTGGCATACACAGCAATGAACAAGAGACTCTGTCCCTGAGGAAAGACACCCAAGGCTGTCTTTTATCCTCATACGTGCACAATGACGGGCACATATGCATGCATGCACACACACACACACACACACACAGAAAGAGAGAGAGATAGAAGAGGAGAGGGAGACACTGCCCCATCCTTCAGAATGCTACAGTCAAAAGAAGAGTAACTGGGAAGAGCTGGGGAGGAGGTAGAGGAAGCTCTGGGCACTGCTGGGGTAGAGGAATGACGCCCTGGGCACCACCAGCAGGAACTCGAGATGGTGCCACTGGGATGGAAATGCTTGCAGTGAGGGGTCTTTCAAGGAACTGAGAACTGAATCACTGCAAGCCATCCCGGCCCTCGGCAGACACAGGAAAAGAACTGAAAGTGTGCAAGAGGCATGTGAGCACACGCACAGCAGCTCTACGCACACGACAAAAGGTGGAAAAGTGGAAGACAATCAGCGGAAGACAATCAGTACCCACGGTGCAGCGGGCCTGCACTATGAGATGTGGTTTCTGCCTTACGAAGTCAGGAGATGCGGGCAGAGGCCACAACAGGGAAGACACATGCAAAATAAGACATTCATAAAGGAACAACAGTTGTGTGACAGCACCGGTAAGATATCCCTCCACTGTCACACCGAGACAGGAAGTGGATGGTGGCGCTGGGGGCTGGGAGGGAGGTGGACATTCAGTGGTACAGCTTCAAAGATGGAGGATGCTTACAGCACCGTGTGAACACTGAGCCCCTGAGCTTTAAGAAGGGCGAAGCAGTTGGTGGATTTTGTGAAAACTCTTAAGCACAAAAGCCGTAACTCTAAGCTTCATTCACGTGAGGCTACAAACAAGTCAAACTGACAGTAGTGTCAGGCCAGAACTTGGCTTCAGTGGGTCAGTGGCTAGAAGCGCGCTGGGCTTGTGGGGCTCCAGCACTCCTGGGTCTGAACCTGGCACGCTATCCCAGCCGTACACAGTTTAATAAAGTCGGGCCATTGAGCAGTGCACAATGACTTGCACACTTTCCGATAGGCCAAGCCTCAGAAACGCTTGGGAGAAGAAGCAAAACATCAGAAAGAAAAGAACCCAAACATCTAACCCAGAACAGAGAGCAATTGAGGGTTAGAAGAGAGGAAGGAGAGGAAAAGGCAGAGGAATTTCTGGCTAAAACTGATAATTTGATAAATAACAAGACTAGGAGTTTCCTGATCCTGCAGGCAATGACAGTAAGAAGCCAAGATCTTTGAACCTCTCTGCCCTGGGTCAGCAGCTGGAGAAACTCTCACAGCCTTAAGATCTAGGACCATGGTTCCCAACCTTCCTAATGCTGTGACCCTTTAATACAGTTCCTCATGTTGCAGTAACCCCCAATCATAAAATTATTCTCGTTGCTACTTTATGACTGTAATTTTACTACTGTCATGAATCATAATATAAACATCTGATATGCAGGATATCTGGTGTGCAAGCCCAGCTTTGTGGGAACTGGATCATGAGGCAGCCAAGTTCAACTACCCCTCTGGCAACCTACCTCACTCTCTGCTCCAACACTGTTTAAAAATAAGACATATCAGTCCCCTGGGCTGAGGGTGGCTCAGCGGTTAAAGCCTTTGCCCAGCATGTGAGAGGCCCTGGGCTTCATTCCAAGCACTGGAAATAAAGAGAACGGCCCTGCAAATGCTAGTCCTTAAATTGGATATCTGGAAATAAAGCATATGGAATAGGAAAGAAAAGCCTCCCTGGCCCCACCGCCCTCTTTCTGGGAAAGCCTTTAGGGACACAACAGGGACACCATCAATGCCTCAGGTAAAGGGGTGTGTGTGAGCATGTGCCATACGCACATCCACGTTGGGCTTCTGTTCGTATATGTGCATGTGAACAGGTCAGCTTGTGCATGCATGTGGCGGGGCCTAGTTCAGCCCATTCAGTGTGGCTCTATGTACAGCAAATATCCCAGCTTTTCTGTTCTGTCACCACCATGTACGTTGGAATGGAGATGAAGGAACCCAGCAGCAGGTCCTATGACGGGAACCATCTGGGTCACAGTATAGGACATAACGCTGGAAAAAGGAAAACTGGCCTCTTCTGCGACTTGACAGGCTAGTAGTCCCCTGACCACAGGGAAAACTCAGGGCCAGGAGGCCAGGGACATGCTGGCCAAAGCAGGCCAGACTCAGGAGGCCTTGAGTCTCCTCTAACAGTGTCCTAGCCTTTGAGCTGGGTTAGAGCGTGCTGGGATGAGGGCACAGACACACAGCTATTTTTCTCTCACTCGGGACTCAGTCACCCACACTCAGGGCTTCAAATGCACGAGCTTACCTCCTATGACACTGAAAAGATTTTTAAAATTTGCTGGTTTTCCCTCCCTCTCCTTTGTTTTGAGGTGCGTACGCTAGGCAAGCTTTCTACAACTGAGCTACACCCCAGCTCTTGAGTTTCTCTGCAAATTTCCATGCTTCTGGTGGCAACAGACCTAAGTTTCCAACAAGGCAAGAGTGGCAGAGCACTCGGTACCAGCTGTTGTTCCTTTCAGAAAAGCACCGCAGTCCTCTAGACCACAGCATTCCATACTGCCTCCTGCCCCAACTTCCCCAACCCCTGCTTCACGCTTTGGGGTATTTATTTACTTTTGCTGTTTTAAGTCTGTGAGTACAGACTTCCCCAAATGACACTAGAGTCTGGGTAAGTGGGGAAGATGTCCTGGCTCACAGAAGGAAGCCAGAGGAAGCCATGTCTGTGAGCAGAAGTACCATTACTTCAAATGAGCAGGCATAGAACACAGAGGAAGTTCCCATGGACAAAGTGTTCTCCAAAGGGGGGCAGGGCTCCCTTGGCATGACACCCACCTGTCGCCTCCCATCCACTCATACGAAGCCTTTTATGCAGCTTCATTCACTCCTTAACTGTTTCCAATGGCAGCTTTCACACAGCCACACCTAGGCATAGGGCACACCCATGCAGTCTATTTCCATCACATCTCCCACCCCTGGAGCACAGCCCGGTTAAGACACTCCTTTCTTCAGGGCCACTGGCAGAGGTGGAGGAGTGAGAGGATAGGACAGACAAATACCATGCAGTGCTTTCTCCTGTCCCAAGCCACAACACTCAGCTCCCGGCCTCAGCTCCCGGCAATTGAAGGCCACAGTCAGGAAGACATAAGACATGCCGAATTCCCTCCACGCATTCACCAGGCTCAGGTGATTCCAACCAGCTTCCTTCTTGTTCCCCGTGTCCCATGCTCAGGACACCTGCCGTCTGTTGCTCACTGTATACTTGCGCCTGGCCCTGTTCTGAAAACAGAAGGACCCTATTCTCAGGGGAGGCAAACCCAGCTCCCCAGCGAAACTGCAGATAACACGTCCCCTGAGTAGACCACGATCTAAGTGTATAAACTGAGGTTTTTCGGCAGGATTATGCGGGAATGAGAAGCTGGGAGATGAAAGCCATGAGCTGGGGGAGTTTAGGGTAGGGGCGGGCTGAGAGCTAGGGTGCCAGCACAGTGTTAAGAGTGCTACCGAGAGAGCCTGAAGGCCACGTGCTGCTTCTGTATGCTAACAGGCACCAGAGATAGCCATTTACCCAAGTTTCTTTTGGAGTCAAACTAAGTAGTTGGCAAAAGAGAACAATTTTAACACTACACTAGAGTGACAGTTATGTGGCTGCCCCTGCTCCCCATATCATCTCTGAACATAGCTTTCTGCACTTCAGCATTTTCACTCAAAGGCAGCAACTACTCAAACTGCCAGTGCTCCTCTCGCACTTGGTGTCACTGTTGAATAAAATAAAGGTTACGTGAACACCAGCCCTATAGTACCATGACAACTGATCTGATAGGCGGGGGTGACATGCACAGAACAGACACCCCAAAAATGATGATTCACATCCCGGCCAGGGTTCACGGTTTCATCACAATCCACAATTTAAAACTTAGGAGCTGTTTGTGGAATTTTCCACTTCGTATTTTCAGGCTGCAGGTGGTCACGGGAAACGGGAAACGGGAAACCCAGAAAGTGAAACAGTGGGAGTGTGGGCTACACTGCTGAAAAGCGACCGAGCCGCCCTTGCTTGGGCTAAGAGCATGCCCCACACTGTAGTCTTCATGGAACCAACCAGGCTGACAAGCTCTGCCCTGCTGGCCTCCACCGGCCCTTAGGCACAAACCTAGACAGGCCCACCTGTCCACATAGGACAGCCTTGGCAGCTCTGCCCTGTGACAGCCCCTCCCAACCCCTGCCTCCCACTGAAGCCTTCTGAACATTTTCCCTGTCCCCTAATGGGGCAGCAGAGCAGCAGAGGGAAAGCCACAAGGTCCCAGCACTTCAGAACAGAAGAGGTTTTGAGAA